AAAAAAAATCTTAATTTTCCAAAATCAAAGTAATAATTATTTTTAAATTTAATTTTTAAAAACTGGTTATGACATAATGTATATTGGATTAACACAACTATGCACATAGTCTAGGCTTCTAAAGGAGAAAAAAGGGAAAATAAGCTAGCCAGTCCAGTAGGCCCAATTCCCGAAACGACGTCGCATTAGAGTTTTCTCTCTCAGCTTGCTCGCGCGCCTCTACTACAGAGAAAGTTTTCTTTTATCAATGCAGGATTCGGATTCGAGTTTTCAGATCATTTCAATCTAGTTTCCATTGTACATCAGCAGACAAAAGCCCTAGAAAATCGAAAGAAGAGGGAAAGAAAAATGCCTCAGGTGAAGATTATCGCGAAGAATTTCATGGACATGGTGGCTTCGTTACCCGCCATTAAGCTCGACATGCTCTATCGTAATCAATTCATTTGCGAAGCCATTCTCAGGTCTCCCCTTGTATCAGAATCATTGAAGAAGCTAATCAATTTCTGAATTGATCCAAGCTTTTGTTTATCGTTTAGGTCGTTGCCACCGTTGGCGAAGAAATACGTGTTACAAATGTTGTACATCGATGCTCCGATAACATCCAAGTCATTGCAGGAGTGGGTTCTTGCTGATGGATCATCCAAGCACAAGGTTGCAATTGATCGGTTGATTCAGTTAAGAGTATTTGAAGTAATAGATCGGTAAGCAACTGAATTCTTTGCTTCATTTGCATACTTTTCGTTGATCTTCTCTTTAAAATAAAGAGGCTAGCACAGCTTAATCTTATTCTGAAAAAACATTTTTTATTGTGCATAATAGAAGATTGGTCTTATGTGCTAACTGGATCAATCAATCTTTATCTTTTCGGCAGGAAGAAGGAAACAACTTACAAGTTAAATCCAACATTTCAGACTAGTCTCCGGAAGCATTTGATATACGGGTAAGTTTTCCTTGTTTTGTTTGTTTACATGATACTCATTTCTTTTACAGTTATTAAAATGTAAGGGGATAAAATTAGCCCTTTGTTATATATTGTGAGTTTATATGTAAAACCTTCAACTTTGCCTGTTTAAAATTTATTCATCTTATTAGGTATTACTTTTATTACAGCCAATTCTATCGTACAAATAGGTGCTACTTGCTAGATTCCTTATGCTGTGTTGTAGTAGTAATTATATAAAGGATTATCACTTTGCAGTGGGATTTTGCCAAGAGAACCAATGCCTCCAAACGTTATTGCAAGACTTCCAACCTTGGAGGAACTCGATGCCTATGCACTTGAGCAATGGGAGGTGTGACTTTCACCTACCTTTTTTATTGTTTTACTAGCATAATTTATGTTCTTAATGGTGGTGTATGTGATGTGGAATTATAGAATTACTTTTGCAATTTGATTGACTGTTTAGTTTTTTTTTTCTTACTTAAGCTTTGTTAAGCAGTGTTTCTTGCTGCAACTTATAAGTTCAGGACAAACTGAAAGATCATCAAGCTTCAGCTCTTCCATGATGAGAATTTTTCAGCGTGGTCTTTTACGTCAGAGGTGTTATATCCTGCCATGCATGTTAGCTTCATTTCTTTTATGCGGTAGATATCAAGGGTTCTGTATCTCACGTTTTCTGCTTCTACAGAGACAAAGAAGCACCAAGATTGACTGAGAGTGGTTTCCAGTTCTTGGTGTGCATCTTATAAATCATGGTGCTTTTGCCTCTTTTTTGGTTTTCTGTCACCTAAAATTACCTCTCATATGTGAAATTTACAGTTGATGGATACAAATGCTCAGCTCTGGTATGTTATCAGAGAATATATATCCAACTCAGAGGTATACTTCATGAGATATTTTTGGTGTTTTGCTTGAAACTTATTTGCTACAGATAGTGTGTTGTAATGTTTTTGAATTCTTGAAGGGGAAATCGGCATGGATTTATTATAAATTTGGTATTGCTTTATTAGTATGTATTATCCTCTCAATACTATTGACTCTTAGGTCTGCAACTGTGCATATGTATGCATGCAAGAGTCTGTGTATACTTGTGTGTTTCTTCTGGAATTGTTTATATTTAATTCTTTTATGGGATTTATGGTTGCATACGTGTTTGTGGATTGATCGATCCATCTAATGATCTGTCTGGTTTCACCTCTTTACTCTAATTGGATGTTGTTGATGCAACTTTAGTTCTGTCATGCTATATAGCATATCTTTGTATCTTATGCTTGGACTTTCATCTTTTGGTGCAGGAGCAAGGTGTAGACCAAGCAGATTTAATTGCTTTTCTGCTAGAACTTAGTTTTCATACCACTGGTGAGGTATGCCATATTCATTTTTTATATTTCCCTTGATCCATGATTGTCGATAGAAAAGTTTTGTTAGAAGAAGTCTATGATTTGCCATTTGTTTAATCCATTTTGTCGTGGAAAGAATCTACATTAATCTTCGTTTTTGTTTTTGGTTTAAACCTTTGTTATCCTTTGTTATCTGCATAGCAGCTTATTTCCTTTCTTTTCTCGAGGTTCTTTAATGCTAATTTCTGTGACAATTTTTTTTAAAAAATTTGATATAAATTTGTTTTGTCTTGTCATAGGCTTATAATTTAGATACACTGACGGATGGCCAGACAACTATGATCAAGGACCTTGCAGACTTGGGATTAGTCAAACTTCAGAAGGTTCTCCTAATTAATGCTATTTTCTTATTGGATACATGACAATCTGTTTCAAGTTATACCCTATGATGGATCTAAGGTATATGTATATGTTCAGGGCAGGAAGGATAGTTGGTTTATACCTACTAAATTAGCCACCAATCTTTCAGTGAGTTTAGCAGATACAACATCAAGGAAACAGGTATGGTGGATTAAGTCAGTTGTATGACTACATGGATTCTGACGTATAAACCATTATCACTGTTTCCCAAGTAGTGTTAGTCTTTACTCATGCAGTTCTTATGCTGTATTTTTCTTCAGGGATTTGTTGTTGTGGAAACTAACTTTAGGATGTACTCATACTCATCATCTAAGTTGCACTGTGAAATTTTACGTCTATTCTCAAGGTACGAAGTGGTAATATACCTAATAACATTCTTCCCCTGAAAAAAATGGACTTTCCATTTTATAACTGTTGGATATGATTTTCCTGAATGGCTCCAAGGAAAATGGAAATCACCCACGGTCAAAAGCAGAAAATCCCATTTTCCTCTGAGATATTTGGAGTCTGTGGAGCTAATATGTGGAAATGCAACCATACCACCAAAAAAGAAACAATCTGAATGGATTTGACGCTATTGTATATAGAAGATAGAAATGTAGTAATAGTTTTTTCCACAAGTGAACAATGTGGCCGTTTCTGCTTTATTTAAAGCATAGCTGCTTCATGGTTCTCTTTTCTGATTCTATCTATCTGTCAATCACTTTCACCAGCTTGTTTCTAATATTCGGAGATTTATTACTGCTATATTAACTATTTGAATTCTTCATTAAACAATAATGTGCTCACATTTATAGGGTAGAGTATCAACTTCCAAACCTCATAGTTGGTTCAATGACAAAAGAAAGCTTGTATAATGCTTTCGAAAATGGCATTACAGCGGAGCAGGTTAGTATCCATTTCCAGTTGCTCCTTTTATGTCTCAAATTGCAGGACGTAGACATGCAAGAAATCACACGATCAACAATAGTAGCAACTGAAATTATCCAACATGCCCTATGCAGCTTCTTTCGCTAATGTAACTCCTGAATACAGATAGTTACATTCCTTCAGCAGAACGCACATCCTCGAGTTGCTGAGAAAGTACCATCAGTACCTGAAAATGTCACAGATCAGGTTAAATACTTTAATCTGCCGAAAAAAGTTGGCATTGTGATTGACTAATTCATTTAAACTGATGCATCCCGACTTCAATGGACGCATATTGAGTATGCTAATGCAGGCACTCTTTCGTTGCAGATAAGATTGTGGGAAAGTGATTTGAAAAGAGTTGAGATGACTCCAGCGCATTTTTACGACGAATTTCCTTCAAGGGTACTCTCAACCCTCAATTTGAGTGATGTATTTCTAATATCTCTGAATGTTATGCGATCATATCTTGGTGTTCACATCTTTCTCTATCGGACAGGATGTCTTTGAGGCTGCATCTGACTTTGCCCGAATGCATTCCGGTTTACTATGGGACGATGCGAAGAAAATGCGTTTGGTTGTAAAGGGAGAGATTCATATACTTATGCGTGAGCATCTTCGCTCTCAAAACTAGATTGTATGGTATGTATATCGTGCAAGCTCCTGATGATGTTGGCCGAATGAGATTGTTCGAAGTTTTGGTAGTCAAGAGGGTGCTGAGAATCTCTAACTTAGCAACAACAGGGTCCTTGTATGAAAAATTATTTGTTTATTTTAAGCTTAAATTTGGTACGATTTTGATTCGGTTAATAATTAAATGTAATCGGTTCATTTTCAGATTCACAAGTTAAAATTCTTAATTATTTGAATGGAAAATACTATATAAAAGTATTCTATAAAAAAATTCAAAAGCTAATGAACTGCTCCAACCTGAATTTGGTTAACTTTTATATTTGATTATTTTTATATAAAAAACAGAATATTGAATTCTAATAGTAAATTCAATTTAAAAAAGAGAGTAAATTATTCGAATAGAGCCATTATCATCCAAAACAATTCTTAAAATAAAAATAATCTTGTTACTGCCCAGGATCGAATTGGGAACCTTAAACGTGTAAGACTAACGTGATGACTACTGCACCACAGCAACCCGTGATGCTAAAGAATTACATTGAGTTTTAAAATAATAACAGGGATTGCCATTATTGACAGACGAAAAATATAAAAGCCAAGCAACATGAAAACAAACAGATAGCTTCCGAGAAATTTCCCCCGTCTCTCAATCATTCCTTCATAACATTGATTGGTAAGCCACTGTCACACCCATTTCTCCTTTTCCTGTATTCCCAAACTCTATAGTGCTATCTAACATCCATCTTCTTGTTAATCTTGAGATTATCCTGGTGTTGATCATCACAATGGCTAGTATTCTAAAATCTTGCATGCAATTCACGTTGAAATCTGTGAACCTGATAATGGCAATGGTAGGGATTGCTATGATCTTATATGGCTTTTGGATGCTCAGGGTTTGGCATAGAGACATGTCAGGCTCATCTTATGAAGACTTGGATTATACTGCTCCATGGTAAGTTACATCAAAAGTTCTTCTATGCTATGTTACTCGGTACCTTTTAAAGATTTTTCTGTATATCTCGAGGATCTCGAAGGTCATATCCCATGTTGGAGATTTGTGTCCGAGCAGCATTGCTTTTCTGTTCTATGTTTACCGATGATCTTACTACAACTGCAGGTTTATATACACTTTTCTGGCCACAGGTGTCACCTTATGCCTACTAACATGCCTAGGCCATATTGCTGCTGATAGTGCAAATAGATTTTGCCTTTTATGTGTATCCTTTTTCGTTGAGTTTAGCTTCATTTGAGTTCATAAACTTCTTCATCGATGCCTGTTTCCCCTTTTTTCCATAGGAAAACTTGTTTTGCAAGCATTATTTGTTGTTCTTTAATGGTAGAAAGTACATGGTGATAATCTCAGTGCTTCTACTGATAGAGACTGGAATTACAGCTGATATACTCTTAAACGAAGACTGGGAAAAGGTAGGAGTCTTTTCGCTATTTTTTCCCCCGCTTAGTCTCTCTTCTTGTTAAGTATTTTTAGTTTCATTGATGAGACCAGGATATACCCGATGATCCAACGGGGAGGTTCCGTGATTTCAAACAATTTGTGGAGACTAATATCGACATCTTCAAATGGATATTCTTGATTATTTTCTTAGGACAGGTAACTTTGTGTGCAGATTTGTATAGATTTTGATATTCAAAAGATTACAAAGGATGTTTCGTTACGTTTCAAGTTGTTTCTTCACAGGGACTTTCAGTACTATTGGCTATGGCTCTGAGAGCTTTTATTCCCACCAACCAATGTTCAAACTATGATAGTGATAAAGAATTCACTCAAGCCAGGCAACCACTCATAAATAACCATGCTCAAAAACCTGCTTATGTCATTGGAGAACCTCCTTTTGCAAACAAGAACGAAACTTGGAACGCAAGAAATCGTTCCAACTACTTTTTCTCAATCTCTTTATTTACTTTTTGTTGATCTGATTTGATTTTATATTGATTTATCAACAGACGAATAAGTGATAGAAAGGGAGTCTGAGATTTTACGTATCATTTACATATCACAGGGGAGAGAAACAGAAAAGCAGAGCTGCTATGGAAAACACTGCCAAGCTAGAAGCACGATTGATATTCAGACCAGAAAACAAGTTTCAGCATCGCGTTAGAGTGGTTAAATTCGTAAATCATGTCATTTTTCCGTTGTGTTATGTTCATAATTTGTGTTATATAGACTTTGACACGTTCATACATGTGTTCGAAACTTGATCATGTCAACAAAAACCTGTTAAAGTTACATGTGACTACTAGACATCGAGAAAATCTCAGACCGAAATATATATATATATATATATATATATATATATATATATATATATATATATATATATATCATGAGTGAAAAGAATTAACAAATCTCTGAAAGATGGTCTATTATGAATAAATTAGCTCGGTCATCCAAAGCTACATGATTGAATCTGCCTCAAATGTTTACAAACAATAAGAATGTTAAAAGCTTCAAATCATAGCAAACATCATACTGAAACACACAACCTATTCAGCTTTTTTCGGGAGCTTTCTCTTCATTCGACTAAAAGGTCCAACAGTTCGGTCCATAATATACATGTAAATAACCTGGCTCCAAGATTTGTACGATTCCAAGCCTTTGTAATACTCAGGAGCGATTTCTTTCACCTTATACAGCTTGGACCCCGGGATCCTTGGGAAATCATGGTGTTCATTGTGATAACCAACATTCCACGTTAAAAGATTGAGGGGACCATAGTAAGAATACGTCTCTTGCTCAGGCTTGAATACATAATGCTCGGAGATAAAATGGCCAGCCATCGGGTGCATTCCACCCCCAACGAATGTCGAAAGGATCAAATAAGCAAAAGATATCCACCCATAAAAATAAACAACGGTTGAATCGAGAGCGAGCTGAACAAATAAGTTTATGACTCCAATAACCTGGGGGCTTTGGTTTGAGGAATAAAGGGCGGAGTGCATAGAAGAAGAGTTGGAAGATAACCCATATGGATTTTGAGACAGCATTAGTCACATAACGAGCTTCGATGTAGCTGGGAACATCCATGTCGATACCATCTACCCCTTGGAAACGATGATGCTCGAGGTGATACTTTTGGAAAGTGACGGACATAGGCACACCGATGGGGAGGTTGGCGAAAATCCCAAGCAAACGGTTGTAGATAGGAGTCGAAAAGGCAAGATTGTGGCTGAGCTCATGGATGGCTAAGAAGAGATTGTGGTTGAGGAAAGAGCCAAAAAAGTAGGCAATTATCAATGTTCTCACCCAGCTAGCATCATGAAGGATAGTGGCAGTCCATAGTTGAAGCAAAACCACCACACTTATCTGCAATGCAAAGGGTTTCAAATTTCTTTATATCAATCGACACAATTCACTTGGAATGGATCCATCATTTAAAAGTTCCAAGCATCACAAACTCCAACTAAAAGTCCCAAAACAGAAAAAAGGAAATACACCAGGATTTCCATTGAAGTAAGCATGAATAAAACAGAGGAAAACATCAAAACTGAATGCATTTAGCCAGCTTCATTGCCTAGAATCTAAATACAGTACAGCAAACAAATTGAATAATGAGATGAAAAAATATATAAGTGGCAGTCCTGTCCATAGCTGAAGCAAAACAACCATACTGATCTGCAATGCAAATGGTTTCAAGTTTATATTCATTAACCCAAATAACTTCAAACGGATCTATCATAGAGAGAGCCTGATTCCAATCAATGCGAATTGAAAGATGAATTCTTTTAACCCCAAAATAGGAAAAATGGAAACCCCAGATTTCTTCCATTGAAGTAAATATGAACAGAACATAGAAAAAAAACATCAGAATCAAAATTTCCAGCCAGCCATGGAGGGTAGTGGCAGTCCATAGCTGAAGCAAAACAGCCATACTAATCTGCAATGAGTTTAAGTTTATATTTCATTGACACTATTCATTTCAAAATTCAAATGGATCTATCATTTGGAAGTTCCAAGCTTAACTCCAATCAGTGTAACTTGAAAGTTCACTCTCTCTTCCTCCAATCTCGAAACAGAAACAATGGAAAACCCAGATTTCCGTTTAAGTAAATAAGAGCAAAACAGGAAGAAAAAAAACCGAAACCATTTAGCAAAGCTTCACAGCCTCAGATCTAGAAACAGATTGAAGAATGAGATTAAAAAGAAGACTACCTGAGGAAGCAAAGGGATCAGGGCCAAAGAGCTCTTTAATTTGAGGGTACTGAGAGAGGATTGACGTCTCCTTGAAGCATGAGGCTCGTCTGTATAAGACCAAAAGAAGTCATTAGCCATTACTATTCCTTCTTCTTTCTTATCTTCCTCTCTCCTTTCCCCTCCTTTCCGCATTATCTCTCTTTCCCTCCAAAGTCCAAAAGCCCTTTTGATTATCTTTCCTTCTGATTCTCCTCTTCTATCTGTTTGTCACTATGAAGTTGCGGATTTTCTTCTCTGATATATGATATACGTATACACGGAAACCGCTATAAATTTGTTGCGTAATAAAATATGGGATATTTTCTCGCCTTTGTAGGACTGATTGAGCGATCATCACTCTTCACGGTTTTAAAAATCCACTCGCTTCTGGGTAAAGTTCTACGTTGAGCCGGTTAAAATAAGGTTAATAAATGATGTTATCGGTAAAAAGTGATAGATTAAAAATTGAGCATAAAAATTACTATTAGTTAGACTAATAAAATAAGACATTAGATTTTTAAATAAAATTATATGTTCAAATTTTGATATTTGTGTATATAGCAAATTAAGTTTTTATAGTGCAATCAATTACGGAACATGTTTAACTGTATCAAAATATACAATAATATATGTTGATATATTAATGATCTTAAGTCTGAAGATCATACATATAGTCATCACCATAAGTAATGTTGTGACCGTCACATAATAATTTAAGACATATATAGCAGATCAATAAAATATGTTGTTCTCTAACAACATACTCATATATTAATTTTGATATCTCTATATCAATGACAATCGTTGTCATCAATCAACTAAACGTATTATTATTTTTATAACCATAATAATATTCAACTAAGGATCTTTAATAAAATCCATTATTATATATATTTTATTATCTTTTAATTTATTTGAATAATTTGAATCACAATGGTATAATTAAAGTAATAATGACAATGCATTATTTAATAAAATCAGTAAATAAAGTGTATCATTACAATCATCTCATGTTTGGTCTTTAAACATACTCTAAAATTAGGTGCAACCAGATTTCTTATAGATATTCATAACATTTTCAGTTTTAACTTATTTTGTTATCGTGAAAATGTCTAAGGTTCCATCAACTTAAACTCTAATAACATTTTAGGAACAATCGATTTATTATAAAAAAAATTATTTCAGGTTGCAACCTACTGCTTAGTGAGCCATAACATCCTTGAGTGCGATCAGATTTCTATAGTTATTGATATCATTTATAGCTTTTAACTTATTTGTTATTGATAATCACGGTAAAATATATTTCATGATTATGTCATTTTAAATTATTTTAAAATAATTGCAAACTAATATGTTACTTATAAGTAGGAATGGCAAAAAAATCTGAACCCGATGGGGAAAATCGAAAACGAATTAAACGGGGACGGGGGAAAAACCGTTTATGCTAAACGGGGACGGGAAAAACCGTTTATGTTAAACGGGGACGGGTTTAGTAATCTCTGTCCCGATTACCGACCCGATACCCGACCCGCTAAATATTAAAAATAATATATATATATATATAAATTTAATTTAAATTAAAAAATATATAATATTATATATTTAATTTAAATATATACCCGACCTGATGCCCGGCCCGATACCGTTTAAATAACCGTTTATGCTAAACGGGATACCCATTTCCTCACGGTTTTCCCGATTACCCGATGGAAATCCCCTTTTAAATCCCCGCGATTTTTTAAGCGGGAACGGGTACGAGTTTTTAAACGGAGACGGGAACGGAGGGACCAATACCCAACCCGAACCTGACCCGTTGCCATCCCTACTTATAAGTCACATTTTCAATCGTGCTAAACTAGTTTTATTAAGGTTCATTTTAAATTTTCGATTACGTTATTTTTTTAGCCTGATATATTCTGCTTTCCTTTCCTATTAAGTTCTAGCACCCTTATTATTATTTTCTAATTACTCAGGTAAATGTCACTTGCAAAAAATTAATTACAAAGTAACATTTTTTATAATCACCGATAACTAAATAAAAATGCAATTTGATCCATACTATCATGAAATATAAAAGGATAACTTTAAATATTATATAAATATATATTATCATCATAATCCGAATTTGATCAAATTTAAAATTTATTTAAAATCAATAATATTTTGTTATAAATATTTTAAATCTTACATTATATATTATATATAATAAATATTTTAATATATTCTTTTTCTTTCTTTTTTGAATAGAAGCCGCTAGTATATTAAAAAAAATATCCGAAATTACAATAAGAATTTACAATTATCATCGTAAACTAAATACATAATTTGAATTTTTTTATATAACATTGAAACTAACAACTTTGAATTATATAAGGACCATATATGGAAAAGTTTAAAAACTCAATCAAGAGGCTTGGACAAAAATAGATACGAATAAATCTGATTGCATCGGCAAATAAACCACAAAAGAAAATTAAGTTATTGAAATATTACCGAAAACTACAGATCAAAGCTGAGCGTCGTGAGAAACTATCCACAAACGCAAAATCACATATCCATATTAAATCCAAAGTCCATAGTAGGAAAAATCAACAAGATTTCGAATAAGCACCATCTTAGTCAGTCGTAACATCGTCAAATCTAACCCTAAGAAAACATAAATAAAAGAGCGGACAAACGACAGACAACCCCCTAAAAAAACATGCTACAAAGCCATATATAAATGTGCAACACAGACATAGATAAATGTACAACATAGACAAAATTATTCTTATTAAAAAACAAATAAAAAAATAAAACTAACGATCGACAACCAACATCAAAACTAGTACTACCGCCGGTTAAAGAAAATCAAAAAATAAAAAATTGATATAATTTATGAAAAACAATACAATTCGAAGAAGGAAAAATAAAGGAAGACAAAAAAAAGAGCGACTATTTTAATATATTCTTTTAAATATACATTATTAGATAATTAAAATAAAATTTATACATATCAGTATCACTATTTCT